CTAGCCTTCGAAGATGGGCCAGTTAAGTACTGCATGATTGGATGCCTCCAATCTTGATCTTGTAAGTCATTATGATTGACTTTCAACATAACATTCTTTTTAGCTAGAGGTGGTATCAATTTATGATATGTTGCTTGACTTATGTTTAATTGAGTGTCATCCCTTCTTCTGAAATTTGAAACCTTCTGAACTATATCATTGGCTTTGTTATTCATGAACCTTGGGATATAAGTCACATTTGCTATCCGAAACTGAGAAAGCAAATGTAATGCAGCAACATAATATGGCAACATGCTTGCACTTTGACATTTAAAAATTCATTTCACTTGGTTGACCACCAATTGAGAATCTCCAAATATGTCAACTGCATGAGCTTATAATCCAATTAGCATTTTTAGTCTCATTATTAAAGCTTCAAATTCAGCTTGATCATTGGAACAAGTAATTTCATCAACTCTGAAACCATGTGTGGTTTCTACCCCCTGTGGTGACTTAATCACCACACTAATTCCAATCAGACCATTGGCTTTTGATCCATCAAACCACATTTGTCATGGCTCAATATTAACCATACCAAGATCCATTATCTCTTGGCTTTCTATTTGACATGGATGATCTGCCAAGAAGTTAGCCAAAACTTGTCTTTTTACTGACTTTTGGGGGACATATTCTAGATGAAATTCTTATAAGGCTAGTATCCATTTGCCAATTCTTCCTCTCAACATAGGTCTGGATAACATGTACTTAACGAAATCTATGGTTGCAATTACCAAGACAATTGTAGGCAAAAGATAGTATCTTAATTTCATTGCAGCAAAATACAATGCACGACACAGCTTTTCTACAGCTAAATATTTGCATTCACAAGAATTTAAAAACCTACTAAGGTAATAAACTGCTTGTTCCTTGCCTTCTTTATTTTCCTGGGCTAAGAAAACTCCCGATGAATCTTCTGCTACAGCAAGATACAACATCAAGGGCTTGTCACTCTTTGGTGGCATCAGCACTGGAGGCTTGGCCAAATAGGCTTTAATTTCTTTGAAAGAAGCTTGATGTTCTGCTGCCCACACAAATTCTTCTTCATTCCTTAGCTTTAACAAAGAAGAAAATACTTTAGTTTTTCTTGCAGTGTTAGAAATAAATATTCAAAGAAAATTAACTTGGCTGAGGAACCTTTGCAACTCTTTCTTACTTGATGGAGGCTTGGCTTCTGTGATGGCTTTAGCTTTATTTTGATCAATCTGTATTCCCTTCTTATGCACTACATACCCCAAGAAGTTTCCAGCTAATACACCGAAAGCACATTTGAGAAGATTAAGCTTCAACTTGAACTTTTTCATTCTCTCGAAAGTTGCTGTTAAATGAGTCAAATGCTCCTCCATAGACTGGGACTTTACAATAACATCAATGTAACACGCCAGGTATCCTCCAATGAGATCATGGAAGATGGTATTCATTGCCCTCTGATATATTGCCCCAACATTCTTTAAACCAAATGGCATTTTTACCTATTCAAATGTGCCAATATTCTCAAGATATCTGAATGTTGTCTTGTGGACATCTTCCTCTGCAATGAAAATCTAGTTATAACCAAAATGCCCATCCATCATAGAAAAAATCTCGTGTCCTACTGAACTGTCTACCAATAGGTCTACTATGTGTATAGACTACTCATCTTTTGGAGTTGCCAAATTCAGATTTCTAAAGTCAATGCATACCATCATCTTACCATTCTTTTTAACTATAAGCACAATGTTAGACAACCATTCGACATATACCTGGCTGTTCTGATGAAGTCTGCTTTAAGGAGCTTGAGAATTTTCTCCTTCACTTTCTTAACCACTTCAGGGCTCATTCGTCTTGATTTCTCCAAGTGCTTGAGATTTTTGGTGCAAGAACCCACTACTTATGGAGAGAAATTTGCTAGGATTTCTTTATACCCCTCTAGCTTTGCCTACTATTTTACTTTCTTCCATCAACTCTTAATTTCTTTACTTCCTTCCTTCTTTTGCCCCTTCGAAACTAACACAGGACCAGCCTGGCTCAGGGCATTCTTGGCTGATAGGGAGTGCTCCAATTCATTACACAAGGATATGTGGGCCTCTATCTTGTTTCCAAGGGAGCTCTTCATTGGTACTTTGAATTCTCGAGCCTACAAATGTGTATCTGAAGTTTATTGTACTTCCCAATTTGCCAGGCAATTTTGGCTTACTCAAGGAATCTATGTCCCCCTTTGTAGCCTCTCAAATACCAATCTCACAGTCAAAGACTTGAAGGTACCCAAAAAAAAAAAAAAAAAATTTGTTGAATTTAGAGTAAACAATAGCATTTTTTTTTTTTTTTTCAAAGAACAAATACCAATATCTGTCAAAGAAAGCGGTCGATGAATAAATTGTGCCAAAGTTGAACTTTTTTCTCCAGATGTTAAGACAAGTTTATTCTATTACACCAAAAAAACCTAATTGTATGAACATTCTTTTAATATTATCAATATTTGTCAAAAGGTATTTTAAAGAGAGTGGCGCTACATCCTCTAATATATTACTCCTATTTTGACTTCTAATGAGGTGAAAGAGAGATAGAGAAAGAGGAATGATGATGAGTGAGGAATTAAATCCATTCTACATGATGGGTGTATTAAGAATGTCCAATTAGAATTCCCAAATATTTTTCTTTTAAGATTATCTCCTAAAACTTTTCTTCTTCCACCACCACCCAACCCAAAACCACCATGAGCAGCACACACCATACCACCATCAGCACCACAACAGCCCATGTAGGCCCGATAGAGACATCGGGCCGAGCTGGAATGGTGCCAGGTCAAGGAACACTTGACTTGAGTAAAATGCAGTGCAAATTCTCAGTCCATAACCTAGTTGCCTCTGAGCTAATCCGGTTGCAGGAATAACCGGGGTGATCCGGTTAGCCTGGTCCGGTCCTTAGTATGCGAAGTGGATATACTTTAAGTAACAAACCTACAATATTTATGGTGTGTTTGGTTGGGGAATTTGAGGAGTGATTTGGAAAGAGAAAGAGAAAATATGTATGAAACTAAATGAAATATAAGTATATTTTATTCACATTTCACTTAATTTTTTTATCAAAAATGTTTGAGACCCCCTTTTCCACCCACCCCCTTTGACCCCCTTTCCCTCCTATTGGCCAATTTTTCTTTTTTATTTTTTTTCTTTTCCTTCTCGTCCAATCACCACCCGCCACGTGTGTGGGGTGGTGGGGGTAGTGATTGGAGGGGGTTTCTATCAATACTCTTTTTTTATTTTCCTTTCTAAATCCATCCTCAAATCCCACAACTAAACATAGCATTAGGGTATATCAGAGGGGCTTTTGTGGAGCACATCCCAGTAGTTCATTTGACTTGTCTTTTGCAGAGAGAACAACATCGTTCACAAGGAATCAAGTTTGATCACAAAATGTTCACATGCGGAGAAATTCAGGGTCCGTACAATACATAAAAAAATAAATAAAACATAAAGGAGTAATATATTTTTGGTAGCTGGAATTTCAGTCAGGCAGAAAAAGTAGGAAAGCAACAAAGAACAATTCGAAACCAATTAGATGAGGAGGAGGAGGACGCCGCACCATTCATAGCAAGATATATTATCAGCATCATCATCATTATCCCTGTCATATATCTATGTATGGTATGTATGTATCCCCTCACCTCCTTCCAAGCTTTGACAATTATTGGCACTGGTGGGTTTTGTGTCTAATATGTGGTGGTCAAGGAAGGAATGCCCCTTGATCTCCAGCAACAACACTTTAGTCCCTTCCCCCTATTGTGGTTGCTTAATTAGGGTAAGGATGTTCATATAACTGCGGATAATAAACAATTGCGCGTTGCACCGCCTGAGGAGGCAGATGCAGACGCAGATGCGGTGGTGGAAATGGTGGGTGTGATATGAGGGGAGGTGGTGGTGGTGGATAATGAAAATGAAGTTGATCATGTGGCTGGGGATAATTCATTCTATAATCTTCCTCTGTTGGTGGTGGTGGTGGTGGTGGATATGGTATTTCCAAGGAGGGATAGTGAACTCGATGAGGAGGAGGAGCGTCCACAGCTGTGGCCGAGTAGTAAGATTCCTGAGACTGACCTGAGCCTGAGCCTGAGGGAATTTGCAAGTAGTCATCCGGCAGCAACGATGGGTAATGAAAATGATTGTGATTGTGATTGTGACTGTGGTGGTGGTTGATATGATTAAGAATAGGATAACTGTCAATGTGGGCATTCTTCTTCTTCTTCTCGGGGGAACTACTACCATTACATTCGTTCAGTACCTTGTAAGAGAAATTGAGGACCCCATTAGGTTTCCCATCAGAAGTACGGACCTCATAACTCACAAAGCGGATAATTCCATTGGAGGACTCTACTTCTTCTTCCTCTTCTTCTTCTCTATTAATCACATCCTTGAGCGGAACTCGAACTTCTCCAACAGATTTGTCTCCAAACATGACTAATTCAGACCGCATATCAAAATGAAGAAAGAGGTGGTGATGATTTTTTTTGATCAGGTGATAATCATCATCATCACCATCATAATCACCTCCAAGTCCGAGATTGAATCGCATCTGGTGATTCCACTCGGGATTTCCATCTCCTTCGGTATCTGTGGGCGTTCTTTGCTGCTGCTGCTGCAGCTGCTTCATCATGCTGGGATTGTCGCTGACGAGAGAGACGACAGCATAAACTGAGAGCTTCTGGAAGAAATTGAATGCTTTCAGATCTTTGCAATACATCACTCTCAGATCTAGCGATCTTGGTGATGACCCCATTGGTGTTGGCAATGGCAATTGCAAATTCTACAGACTATGAAAATAATTCCCCAAAATCATCATTAAAATTTAAATCCACCCTGCGGGAACACGAACACCCATCTCTTATTCCTTACTTACCTACCAAGCTATATGACTCGATTGGCCCAGCAAGCTTAGATTGGTAGATAGATGTGTGCACACGCAACTGCCCAACAAAATTTTCAGGGAGGGAGGGAGGCCACGTGTATCATCATAATTGTGTGATAGTTCTTCACAACCAATTAACATTTGGGAAAACTTTAAATATATATATATATATATATATATAAATTAATTGATTAATTTCACTCAAGGTAAGAAATTTAAAAATAATTACAAAAATGTAAAATTTTGTCTCTTTTCCTATTTCTTTCTTTCTCCTATCTTCCTCTCCCTGCTCTCCACCCCTCTCCCTCCTCTGCCCTCCCCTACCCCTCTCCCACCCTTCCCAATCTCCCAAGCTCCTCCCCCACCACTGAGAATCTTTTTTTTCTTGTTACATAAGGTTTGTGAATTGGGCTGTTGCTCAAAACACCCATTATTTTCATATTGTTGCCCCAAAAAAGAAACAGAAAAAAGAAAAAAAAAAAAAAAGAGATGTTTTCTAAAACTTCTCAGGAAAAAACCCAACCTGCAAAACCTTGAAAGGTGTAACCACATATAATAATGACAACAATAAATAAAAGAACAAAGGAACAAAAAGTGAAAGCAAAGAGCAGAGGAAGAATGAAAGAAAACAATAATGGTGGACGGTTGTTTCTTATTCAATATATGACCAAGGGTGTACAGTACAACAACAGACAGGTACATCAAATTCTTTTTCAAACTACAAAAATGCTATTACACAATTAAATACACATGAAACAAACAAGGATTAGGATATATATCCTTCCTAAATGCGTGTGATGTGATAATGAACAACAACAAACATTAATGTTCAGTGGCAAGACAATTTCACTCGCTCATATAATGATATAACCCCTATTACCTACAACACCTATTCAATGCTATGGGTGACTTAAATGCATACCAGTCTGATCCAGCATTTTCATACCTTCCTCTACTACAACACCTATTCAATGCTATGGGCGACTTCATGGATTGCAGTCGTCTCCAGCATTTTCATACCTTCTTCATCCTCCCCTGAGATATTACTCCAACCATATCTTCTCGTGTTCGAAAACTTAGCCCGATCAAAACTACTTCCTCTAAAACCGTTTATCTTGGAAGAAACCATGGGCATCACAAGAACTGAAGATGCATGAATTGTGTCTTCTCCCAAACCTATGGATAATGAGCAAGCAGCCTGCATGGAATTGGAAACCAACATATCTGTAAGTAAGAAAGAATTATAAACAAATTTTCATTTCATCTTAAAAGAGAGTCAACCAGCCAATCAGAACCTTTGCCTTGACTACCATATTGGCAGCCTTCATCACCATTGCTCTCACAAGTGATCTCATGTCTTTAATTTGGGTATCTTCAGGTAGCACAACCAGCCTGTAATGAGTGTTTGATTAGTTTAATTGCAAAACCATACAAAAATGGATACATTGTTTCAAAGAAGACATGCAAAGAGTCCAAATCATGTAAAAATTACTCATAGTTTGCCTGTCTTCTTATTCTTCACTTGTTCTTATTTTCAACTTTTTCCTTTACAAACAGGTAGGCTATGCTTAGATCTTGTATTTGTCAAGAGAATGGAAAATGTTAGGGAAATGATGTCTAATATATCTGATAATTTTCTTCCCACTTTCTAGCCTAGCCAGAGACGAGGGGAGGGGGGGGGGGGGGGGGAGTGGTTGGGGTGTGGGAACTTCTTTTACTTCATTTTTCTCTCTATTCCCTATTCCTTTTCTTTTTTGCTTCATAAATCCAATATCCAAGCACAATTGTAAGGATACAAGTCAGTTGAAACTTAAATCTCCAAAAATTATCCAGAAACTTGAATCTTGTAAGCATGAAAATGTAATGCACCTGTCTACTTCAGTTGAAAGGCTTGAAGATGCCACAGAAACTAAAGCGCTATCCTTGACTTCACCTCCTGGAAAAAAGTCCTAATTAGTTTCTATCTTCATCCTCAGCTAGACAGAATTAAGAAAAGAACTCCATGACCCACAACTATACCTTTTGCCTCGTCTGGTGCCAGCAAAGAAATGCCTATGAATACAGAAATCATTCCTAATATGAACATTGTTGTCCTTAGAGCACCAAATACCTGCTTACGCAACAGTCAATAGTCTGCCAATGTGTGTGTGAATTCAAGAGAAGCAAGACTGGACATATGCCAACAGACTATGCCAACAGATACATGTGCATATGCCAACAGACTAAACTAAAGCGGGTTAATATTGAGTAAACATCAAAGGTGCAACACTTTTTTCTACAGGATACATCATACATGATTCCCACCACATGGACATCTCTAACCTTCAAGTCCACATGGAGCAACTAAGCAAGATATTTGACCTCAATTTGCCCCAGAGCAAATTGCTCTCGCTTGATCCCAATTATTTGAATAAATCAGCTGTCCCAGTTTTACATAACCAGGAAAGAACACCGACCCATTATGTCAAGAAGTACAACTTGATTTCATCTGGTCTGGTTCAGTCTCAAACCAAAGTTGAGCTCACTACAGTTGTTTCTGTTCCTTTTAACCCACAATCAAAACAATGTGTAATGAGGTTAGCCGGTTCTTTATCAAGTAGTGAAATATGAATACATAGATTTTATAAGACCACGTTTTAATTTGCATACACTTGATAAACTCACACTAATCAATATTATATGATAAATTTATTTTTATTAAACTTTATATTTGGGTGGTTTCGGGGCTGGACAGTTTACCTGAAACATCAACCTAACACCACATTGACTAAGAGTTGATTTAGATTTGATAAAGTCTTAAGGTACTGATATGCGCACACAGAGAGAGAGAGAGAGAAAGAACCTGATATTCCTGAAAGTATACAAATCCTGTACAAATGGAGAAGAAAGTCCAAGCAATCTGAAACATAGGAACAATAAGTATTGCATCGAAGAGTGATAATCCTTCATTCAACCTTGCCATCTGCAGTTGTAACAAATTAGGAATAAAATCAGGGATTCCCAAATTCATTGTCTCCACAAACTCGTACATTGTAGAAATATGAAGAAAAAAAATTGACTTATTCATGTAAACATGGAGTATGTGAACCAGCTATGCAACTGATAGCCACCAGACATGGACAATCTTAGCAGGTTAGAGCTGCAAAAATCAAGGTATTGAATGTCAAAAAGAATTACAATTCTACTTTTCTTTGTCTTCTTTTTTTTGACCATCCAAGATGGAAAATAAAAATAAAAATTGGAAAATTACACTGACCTCCCGTGAGGTTTGGAAAAAATACAATTAAGCCTCACAGTCTCGACATAATTACATTGACCTCCCTTTTAGTAAGGTTAAATGCGCCAAAACTAATCTAGATGGTACGAAAACACAAAAATAAACAACGTAAAGTATACATTTTCGTGTACAAGAGATGACAACATCATTTTTTCATCCATATAACTAATAAATTATTGGTGAAAAGGGGGCTAAGAGTTATATGAATTAAAATCTCAAGGGCACTCAATGTAATTTTGTCAAAATTATGAGGTTTACTGTATTTTCTCTAAATCTCAAAGGAGGTCAATGTAATATAAAAATTTAAAGCTTCAGCTTACTTACAGGGATTTTGCAAACAACACCGAGCATGATCCTACAGCACCAGATACAATGGCATAGGAAAAAGGAAGTAGCATTTGCCAGTAGGGCTTAAGGTCATATCCAGGTATTGCAAGAAGTACTTCTCCCCTCCTGCATTTTCCAGTTTTTATTGAGATGACTGGGATAGCAGATTGGTGATTAATTTATTATACAAAGGAAGGTATAAAAGAAAGGATAAGAAGAAGAAAAAAAAAGGTTAGCTCCTATAAGTGCACATCCAGCTGGATCTCACCCTATAAACAACATATACAGTAGTCTTTACCTGTACACAGAGTGATGAAAGGCAACAACCAAGACCAAAATGAGACAGTAAAAGAGGAATGTAATGTTGCTATACTTTTCTGCCAACTGCTCTGGTGTGTAAACTGTCAAGAGCAAAAGAGAACATAAAAAAATTCACTTGACCACAAAAACAAAAACAAAATTCAATAAAGCTGTGTTTGGTTGAGGGATTTGGGATTGAATTTGGAAAGGGAAAGGGAAAAGAAAAAGACGTGTGAAACTAGGTGAAATATTTCACCTATGTTTTCTCTTTTCCATTTCTCTTTCCAAATCTCTCCCCAAATCTCCCAACTAAACACAGCATTAGTGTACAAATAGGGGAGTCCACTTCCCTTGGGTTCACTGCTTACCAAATTCCACTTGTTCAATATTCTTAGTTTTTCTTTGCGAAAAGTGAAGGTAGGCAAACAGCCTACACACTTCCTACTACCCAAACCCTCTCCTATATAATGCCACTCTGATTTGTAATACAAAATATCAATCAATATCAATCAATAATACATCATTTTTAACAATTTGTATGAAAGGCCTTTTGCACAAGACCTTACTAAGTTGACAGCAATAATGAAATATCCACATGATCATTCATATGAAAGGATGTTTGTACGAAAACTTACTAACCACTGCCGTGACCATATATAGAGGGGGAAAAAGGCTGTTATATAACAGACCATATTCAAATAGAACTCCATATGGTAAACTTCAATTTAAAACCTCTTCAATTGTCCACATATATAATATAAAATGTTTTCCCTCGTAGCTGACTCTTAACATATATCTAAGGAATTTTCTGTGATGTTTAGGTTCAGTTGGGTATGAATACGTTTATTGTGACATTTTTCAATAGTGTGCAATCTACATCATCCTGCTAATTTTAGACAATTCTTTACATCCACTTTTGGAGTCAAGAAGTCAACAGCTTATGCCAAACTTTTGAACACACCAAGAATCATCAATATTCAAGTCCTTGATTGTATTAAACTGAAAAATATGGCTCAGAAAGTGATCTTTGGCACGTGTCAACATTCTTAGGAAATTAAAGCAACTTATTCTCAGACGTAAGTGACATACCAGGCGACTGGTGGTTCCCGAAAGCAACAAGAAAAGTGTTTCCAAGGACAATAAAAGCTGTGGCAACCATTACTCTGTAAAAGAAACAATATATTTGATACAGAAACTCAGCTAGAGTCAGGTGGGAAAAAAAAATACGACTCACATCATCATTCTAAAAACATGCCCTCACTTAGCATAACATACTTGACAGTCACTGTTTTATTCAAAACAAAGTATGCAAATGCAATGTTGGACACAAATTGAATAGATCCCAGGGCTGCAAGAAGTGACTGCAAAACAAAAGATAAAACATAATTAACGAGAGAGAGGATGGAAGGAAATTAGATAGAAACAAAAAACTGATTGCCAAAAAAATTATATTATCTAACAAGTAAGCATGTGTAAGTCATCAAAATGGAAAGATAATTATGTTTACAATTCTAGCATTGTCTTCATCTATTCACTAAAGGAGCCATATATTGTATTTCATACAGACCTGAGCAGCATATCCAAAGGAAATGAAATTAAGACAATTTCCAAGAGCAAAAAATAGAATACCTGCATGCCAACAATTATGCATTTGGGTTACGAAACAATGGAGCATGATAAGAGGAACATTTGTAAAGAAACAAGCACTTGACAATGAAATTTTACCAATTCTCCAAGTCTGGAAGTGTATGATGGGTTTCGTTACAATCTTTCCATTTGTACTGTCACCGCCTAGCACAGAATGCCTTTCTCTCTGCAAAAGTTCAGTAACTCATAATATTTTGCAATAAAGAGTGAAGCCAAAACAAAAGTGCAGTAACAGATGTTGGTGGGAATTGGGAAGAAACCCACAACATAACAAATGTAATCAAGAATACACAACTACTGGTAAAGTTTAGAGGCCAACCTTAAATAATTGAGAGAAGGCTTTGTTTTGGGATTTAGTTTGAAATGGGCATATATGGCACTTAAACTACTTGATGAGTGTTGGCTGAAACTGCTAAGTCAGCAATCCATTTGAAAAATTGAATTTTAAGCTGGAATATTTCCCAGTAACACTATGAGACCCAAAAAAAAGAAAGAATGAAAGAAGGAAAATAAAATAAAAATAAGAAGATTCTAAGCATACAAACTCAAGGTGGAATTCCAATCTAAAAAATTGCTCTGGGTGATTAATCTCTCCTTTATCAACTATTTAATCCTTCAGTGGTGTTTCATTACCAACTGAAGTGTGCTCACTAGGAGTCGTGGCATACAAAGTAAGGAAAAAGAACAAAAATTTAGCGCACAAGGTCAGCTGTCAGAAATTTCAGCAATGAGCAAAATGTTTGGGCCCCCAAGGCAAATCTGTAATTCAATGTGTTTACATAGCGTATGAAGCTATAAATCCATCAATCAGTAGAACAGAAAATGCAAATGCCCCACACGCGCACACACACACACACACAGAACCTCCATGTGCAAACCAGTTAACTCTGTAACATACATATCTTTGGGACATATTGGGAAAAAAACAGAATCTTACCAGAAAAAAGTCCCAATTATTGTTGTGGTTTCTCAATCTAAACTTAAAACTTCAAGCTAAAATTTAAAACGAATATAAAGGTGTGTGTGCTGGATTTAAGGCCTGATTATCATCATAATAGAAGATCAACCGATAGTCATCCTACTACATAATAGTTATACATACATGCGTGTATGTATACGTGTGGTACTATTGTTTGAGGGATTTGCATGGTAATAAATTAAAATGAACATCCAACTCCCAATCTCTATCGTGGTTCATGGCCTCAGAAGCAGCAGCCACAATTGTGCCATCAAAAAAAGGTTTGAAAAGGTTCTAAGGAACCAGGCCTAGTATTATTAGTATAAAATTTGTGACACTTCTGAATTCATGGTTATTCAAGCATTTGATACTTCCGTATTAGACAGACTATTGAAAGGTCTTCCCAAGCAGCACTTATTCTAAATGTATGTAAATGATAATTGTTGGAACTTGAAATGATTCAAATACTGGAATAAATTTGTAAAATGCTGGCATGATGTTTGGAATACAAGAAACAACAAGCATAATATGGAAGTGGCTTACATACGGATGTCAAGATAAATAAGTGGCAAGACAAACGAGGATAGATAATATTCAAATTGAATAAATTTATGAGAAGTTTGGAAAACACCTCTCATGGACAAGGCAAAAGAAATGGATCCAAGCGATTTGTCAAAGCGTAAAAAAGACTCAAACTTCACAATAACAAAAGAGTCAATGGGCAGGTTTAACGGTAAAGAGAGCAAATGGAAACCCAAAAAATATGTGCATTGAGGCAGAAACATCAAATTAATAAACAATGGCTCCAGAAAGGGCATACAAGAAAAGAATGGTTCATGTACCAACAATGACTCGTTGAAACCACTTTTGAGCAAGTTGAGTTGGGTATTATATATTGCCAGGTCACTTATTTCCTCAATTTTGTCTGGATATATCATGCAAATCTACAAACTCGTGAACTATGACTTTTGAGTTTTGTCTGTAATGAAATCTCATACAAATGTACAAGCACAGGAGCCATGAAGACCAACACAACAACCACCATTCAGAATGGAGCCATTAACAGTTGAACATTTAGTTCCGACCGGCTTGTGCTTGGGTGAAGTGGGGGTGGAGGAGAAAGGAAAGAAGTACCTCATCATGACCTAATTTGAGAAGGTTGGTCCCAAAATTGATGGCAATGCTGCCAAAGAGATTGATAAAAGCTCCAATTACCCACTCTCCCATAGAAAAAAGATGCCAATGAACGTTCTCTTTTAAGTATAGTTAGAATATGATGATGCTCTCCTTGTGAAGTCTTCTTCGCTGATTCTGGCACAAGAATTGTTGAAAGAAACAACTGATTGAAGAAAAGTAATTTGTCTTGCATCCATCACTGAGGTTTAAGGGCCGACATGAAGCAAACATTTGCAGCCAATTCTGAAAACATTGAGTATTACCCGCAAACTGATATATTCTGTATCATAATTGAAACAAATTCAAAGACACATACATAGATACAGAGGATAAAAGAGGGGGGGAGATCCATATTCATCAATAATCAAACTCCAAACGGAAAGAAGCATGCCTAAGATGATAATGGTTAATTAAAATTCCAGTGGTAGGTAAAATATATTGAAGAAAATTGCAGCTGAATGCCTGCGGAGTTCAACAAATTGCCATACTTGGTTCACACAACCAAATTAATTATTGGATTTGATGCCTATGTGACTTGGCTGCGACTCTTGAGGTGAATCTCTTTGCATAAATAGGTACCAGACCGGATCAACCAAAAAAAGGCACAGGGTTCATACATAAATTTGCCAGACAAATAAAAGAATAAGAAACAAAACTGAAGATAACAAGATCAACAGCATAAGAGGGTTAATCAGCCAGCCATAAAAGAAACAAACAAAACTGATGATCTATATCTATATCTATATCTATATCTATCAACCCAATAATAATAATAATAATAATAATTGAACACGGCAGTTGTTGATCTGGCCGATCCATTATTAGAAACATCTAATAATTAAGGAATTTGATGGCGGAATTTGAAATTAAAAACAAAAATAATGACAGGAAAAAAACAAAGAGGATAAAGAGCGAGATGAGCTAGTTTAAAATGCAAGTTGTACCGTGGGGAAACACAAAAATCCTGTGTTGATGATGATGATGATGAAGACAAACAGACAGACAGACAGCCTCTCCTCCCTCGGAAGATTTGATGATGAACCAACAAACCGTAGTAGAGCTTCAAAATTCAATTTTATATATAACAGTATCTTTTTTTAAAATTATTTTATTTGGGATTTATCCAAAAACCATAACAACCGATTGCGAAAGGTGGCGTCGACGAGCGGAGAGACGAACCTGAATCAAGAAAATTGTTCTCAGGTTGTGGCAGCCTGGCTAGCTGGCGTGTATCCTAACTATTTGAAGACTAATCTATCTAATATTTAATCGGCAGAATGTGTGCTTTTGAAAATCTTGTAAATAAATTTAAATATAATTGTACTTTTCTTTTTCTAACGCTATGTTTGGTAACTTAAGAGAGAAAAGAAAAGAAATGATTACTTAAGTAATAAAAGAAAAGAAAAGAAAAGAAAAGAAATGATTGTAATTTCTCTCATTTTTGTTTGGATAAGTAAGAAATAAAAGAAAAGAAATGATTGTGATTTCTCTCCTTCTTGTTTGATTAGATTTCATTAAGAGAAAAGAAAAGAAATTATTTTATATTGTATTACCAAAATAACCTTTTTATATTTTCAATCATTTTATTTCTTTTATTTTTATAGGGGTAAAATTGGTATTATAAAAATATAAACATTTGTGGATTTCTTTTCTCTCCCAATCTCTCCACTTTTGGGAAGATTGAAAATAAGAGTTATGAGAGAAATGAGTTTCTCTCCATTTCTCTTTATATCTCTCCATTTCTCTCCACTTAAGATAACCAAATAAGTAAGAGAAATACATTTCTCTCTATTTCTTTTCTTTTCTCTCCAAATCACTCAATCCAAACACAGTGTAACTCTCTTCCATAAAATCCATATCAGAAAAAATATTTGTTATTCAGTGGGTTTTGAGAAGGTAGTAAAAAATAATTTTTTTTTTACTTTTATCCATCTATCAATCTATTTATACTATTATAAAGTGAACATCTCTTATGGTGTTTTGAAACTTTTGTTTCTTATGTTGTCATGTGTTTTCTTTTTTATTTGAAATAAAAAATGAAACATTTGTTTCTTATGCTATCATGTGTCTATTTTTTTATTTGAAATTAAAAAAAAAAATTAAATAGATGAAAGAAGAGAATTTGAACCTTAGACTTATAGTACACAATATATGATAAATATTTTATTTTATTTTTATTTATTTGAATTGTACACGTATCACGTGTGATGACTGCTAGCGTAAACAAAAATTAAAACCATAATCTTCCCAAATTGTCCCTCAATGTCAGCACAACAGGTCAATGCTCCCAAACACTTCTTAATCGTAGCAATATAGGTTTTTACTGTTCCCTAATTTTAGGAGCGTGAAACACAAAGAACACTTTTGTTTGCTTGGATTGGACTATGCGATGGGATTCACAGTTTGATAGATAAAATAGTCTATTGTTTAGTTTAGAAATTTTGTATTCGACTGTGAATTCATTGAGATTGATAATCTCCTATATATTAGACAATTCTATCTTAAGGGAGTATGAGACAAAAAGTTTAAGATAAACTCATTGTGTGAGTGATTTTCCGACCACACTGCCCGCTTAGTAACCAGCTGGAGAGCACTGGCAGAATAGATGGCACCTGACTGACCTGCAACAGAAATATAAGAATCTCGCGGTGGTTTCGACCACACGGGGCACTCCGACGATCAAGTCAGTATATCTCTCAAAGATAAATCAAGTACTAAACTCACAAGTTTGAGTATCAAAAGCATACCTTAGACCCATGGGGGTGCCTCTCTTTTATAGCCAATACAATCCTAGTCCCAAAAGGAGCCTGGCTCTAATGGACTTAGGATTACTGCTAATCTGGGACTCCCAGTGGGTTTAGGATAAACTCTCTAAGAGTCTTATCTTTACCCAAACTGAAGTCTTCTCCCAATCTAGGACTCTTGTCCATATCCAAGTTGAGTTCTCTCTTCATTCTAGGACTCTTGTCCCTTACCCGCTTATCTCGAATTCCGATATCTTCGGAGGCAACCTCGGCCTAGCCGAGATGACCTCGGCACAACGACCAAGACACGTGGCACCTTCGCTGACACGTCGGCGTCGCCTTGCCACGTGTTGGTACTCAGAAAATATATCCCCACAACTGCCCCCTAGGTTCTATTACCTCGGCATTCTGAGGTGATGGAACCTACACTGTTCGTTCATCTATGCCCCTCAAAATTCCCTGGACTTTACTATCCACTGGTGTCAAGAATCAAGTTTCATGTTTTCTAAGCTGCTTGAAATCGCACCTCCTAGTCGAGATTCTGGTTCCATTAATTCGTAAACTCCAAGAGCTTTGCAACTGCTCCACTCACACTCTCTGGTGAGTTCCCGATTTCCAGTCATCTATTTGACTCCGGCGATTTTCATGTCGGCGTTCATTTGGTAGGTTCATAAATTCTTACTTTTTATTAAGCTTAATCTTTCAAAACTCTTTTGATTTACTTTGAATCTGTTTATTTGCCATCTGTGGCCTTTTGTTCTCGTCTGTCTTCAAGTTTTTGATTTCTTATTGCTAAAATGCCTGGAACTGTTCTTGTTACATCCGCTTTCTGTTGCTAGCATCATGTCTGGTTCATTACTTTCTTGTTCTTCACATACTTACTTAGCGCTTGTGTACTTGACTTTATTCTTGAACTTTGTCGTCTTCTTGACTATTTTTCTCTTTTTTCATTTAATCCTCTGGCTTCTTCTCTTTCAAGCTCTTTTGCTTAAATCCATCATTTGTTCCAAGCTTTCAAGCTTCTGCAACTGTTTTCGTTTCTCTCCTCCGGTGGAGCTTTACTTCATTCTGTCATTGTCGTCAAACTTCGGCGATTCTCATTACGGTTTCCCTCTTTCTGGTAAGCCACTGTTCCTCCTGGTTTTATTTCTTGTTGCTTTCCAAGAAGCTCTGCTTCATTGTTAATCACCATTGCTTGTTTTACCCGTTATTTCCAAATCATCTTCTTGAATACACACTGTTCACACATCTGTTGATTTCTATCACTGTTCTTGGCTTGACACACATGTGCAATCTTTTTGTCTTGATTTCTTGATAGCTTCATCACCATTCTTGATTACGAATTACATTCTTGTTTCTGTTTTCTGTGTCTTTTTCCAGATTCTTGCTTTCAATCTTTGCCTTCAAACTCCGAGGTGCCAATCGCCGAGAAGAGCCTTAATCAAACTCTTCAGGAGATCGAGGCTGAGCTTGAGGCCGAGAAGGCTGCTGAGAAGTCTTCCCAACTGTCTTCTATATCCTGTCATTGATGCCGAGTAGTTTTGTTTTCAATTCTCTTTCTTCTTCTTTGGCTAAGCCTGAGCCGAGAAGAAAGAAACATTCTTCGTCGCCCTCCTGGACGAGGATTTTCTTCAGTGTCTCTTCACTCTTTTCGGCTGGCTCTTTGCCGACATCATCTAGGACCTCCATGTTCTCGTCTTCAATCTCTGTCTTCCCTGGTTCCCGAATGTTACAGGTAGTTTTTCATTGCTGCCATGGAGCAATTCTTTGCCTGCAGTTGGTCTCCTCTGACTTCTTCAATCCCATGTTTTGAGGGAACTGCCCCCATTGCATGCAACCATGGCCTTCCCAAGATGATATTGTATGGCGAGGGCGTGTCAATCACCATGAATTCTGTCTTGATCTTCTTCTAACTGCTCTTGCATGATTCTATACTTAGAATATTTTGCATGCCTTTCATACTTTACCTCCTTTGTGCAATCTTCTCGGGGTTACATACCTCGGGTATAATAGCTACAAAACTTTTACTTCGGCAAGATACTGACCTGCAAACTTTTCATAAATTCTAACAAGTACGAAACATATACTACTCAATGTTAACTTTGCAAACTTTTTCTCAAGTTTCAACAAGTGTTTAAACAGTGATCTCGGTCTAGCCTACTTGTAAATTGCTACAAATTTCAACAAGTGAAGATAAACAATTATCTCGGCTTAACTTCAACTTGTAAATTGCTACAAATTTCAACAAGTGTTAAGCATCTTCTTTGGTTGGATCAACCTGTAGATTGCTATAAGTGTTTAGCAATAACCTCGGCTTTGCTTCAACTTGTAAATTGCTACGAATTTAAACAAGCGAAGAGAAACAGTAATCTCATCTTAACTTCAACTTGTAAATTGCTACAAATTTCAACAAGTGAAGATAAGGAATCAGCTTAATTCAAACTTGTAAATTGCTACAAATTTCAACAAGTGAATTAAGGAATAATCTCGACTTAACTTTGACTTAAGCATCATCTCGGCTTAACTTCGGTTAAGCATCATCTCGGCTTAACTTCAGTTAAGCATTGTCTTGGTTTAACTTCGGTTAAACATCATCTGGACTTAACTTTGGTTACGCATCATCTCGACTTAACTTCGGTTAAGCATCGTCTTGGTTTAACTTTGGTTAAACATTATCTGGGCTTAACTTCGGTTAAGCATTATTTCGGCTTAACTTCGGTTAAGTATCATCTTGGCTTAACTTCGGTTAGGCATCATATTGGTTTAACCAACTTGTAAATTGCTACAAATTTCAACAAGTGGTAAATGCATTCTTCTTCTCTCTGCCCCCTCAGTGTGAACTTAAAATCCACTTGGGTTCTCATCATACATGTAGCTTCGACCTTGTCGCCGAGGTTTAATTCAAGCCGAGGTTGTCGGCCTTGGTTTCTCTATTGATCTTACTTGGCTCCAACCTGAGTTTGATTTTCGGCCTCGCATCGGCGAGCCGTTTCTCTTTTCTTGTTCTGACGCCTTTGTTCCCGGCATGTCCTCTTCGGCCCTAGCATACTTCTCAATTCTGGTCAACTTTAGTCTGATCTTGTGTGTTTCCTTTTTATCTTTTGGGATCTGAGATCTGCTCATTGTGCTCTTCTCTTTTCGGACTCAGGTGCCGAGATCTTATCTTCTGGAATCTTGGATCTGCTCATCAGGTTGAGCTCTTCTATACTTGAATGTTATCTCCTTGGGAGCGCTCATGCCCCTGTCTTTGCATCCCTTCTAGAAGGGTCTTCGTTCCTCCGCAGGTATCTATCATTCCATACCTAGAGGTCATCTTCGTTGTAGTATCCGCTTCGATCTGTTGTCTTTGGTGCGTCACCTTCCTGGTCGGCATCTTTCACTCTGTGACTCTGGTCACGAATTTCTGTGTTGCGGTCGTCCCCTTCAACGTCGAGATTGATAGGTCTCCTACTCCCAGCAGGGGCGTTGTCTCTAATCTGATCCTTTTGTCTGTCATTGGCCATCTATTCTTCTTTCTTTCCCACAGACGGCGCCAAATTG